CTGGTCATGAAGCAAAATCATGGGTTGAATAGCTCACGGTCCACATGTGGTCGACTAACCAATTCCCTTGGGCAATGACTTTCAGGTTTTTGTGGGTTTTGGCTTTCTGATTTGTTTTTTAGGGGGATAATTTTATTTTCCCACATTTATTAGCATGCAGATCTACTGTACAGTGCTTGTTTCCTCCACATTCCTCCTGCTGCAATTTCTGGAACCACCTTCAGTACTCCCATTTCTCTCCACATTTGAAACTAGTTTCAACCAGCCATGGTCAAACCACACCCCATACGACTGCACACCATGGAATATACAACTACATCAAGCCCTCTTGCTAAAGCAGTGGTTTGTAATATGGTTGCTGGTTGACTGTTTGTCTGAAAATCCCTATCCACAGGAGACACTGAAATAGCGCTGAAAGGCAGGCCAGCTCCAAAAATGTTAGGCGATGTTTGTGCAGCAGACCTCTGGACAGTGTAGCTGTTGACAGATGTGATCCCTGACCAGAGGAGCGATGCCAGCAGCAGCTCCTAATGCAAGGACAGCACCTTTACCAGTTCCGTGCACTGAAGGCAGAGTGATGTTAGGACACCATACTAATAGGGCTATACTTTGTCCCATCATATGAATAATCCTGCTGAGATCCAGTAAAAATCACTTCATGTAGGAACTGCTCTAAGGATTAGCAAACCAAGATCATGTTGAATTTGGGCTAGCAGGACTCTGGCTCCAAGTTTCCCAAGGAATGTGGGAATGCATGGCAGAGAAGAGATCAGGAAAGACAAGTGTAATGAGTCAACCTTTGGAAGCCAAACTAAGGATCTGACTCTAGTTACTTCATTTACAGGCTGGTTCTAGAGCTGCAGCCAGCAAGCACTCATGGTTTCAAACTGGAGCAGACAAGCTGAGGAGCCTGCTACTGCTGAATGTCCCCAAGTCAACTTAACACAATAGCTAAGCTCACTCCTCTGTGCTCCCTCAGAAATGTTCCCCCTGACCTTGCTGAAAACACTGGTCTCCAGCTCAAGAGTCTTCTCTGCTTCCTCCTTGGCCTTTGTGGAGGGCCCAGGCCAAAGACCTCTTCCTCCTCAGTGCCACTGACCATCTCCCTGGGTCTATCCAGCAAAAAGCAAGGCTCGTGAGAAGTCATTACGCTCCACAAGCCTGAAGCCCTCTCACATTTGTACACAAACACAACCACTGGACAGCCCTTCTTCCTAGCCAATATGAGACCCTTTTAAGATGTCATCTGATTCTCTCCTCCAGTTCCTCTATGGTACTTGGCCTTCAACTTGACTACCCAGTTCTCTCAGCTTACCCCTCTCCATAGCTCTGTCAGACCTGACCTTTTTTCCGTCTAGTTGTGCACATGAACGATTTCCTGAGCTGTCCAGTCACCACTGAACCAGTCACCTGTGGAGCATTTCAGGGCAGGGAGCAGAGTGCTTCATGGTGACAAATGGTCTTATCGAATGGTGAAGAGCTCAAGTCAGGAAGGAACATCTGGACAGCAAGTGGCGGCAAGCGTCACACAGCAAGCAGCAAACCCGAAACCCAGTTCTCATAATTTGGACAAATAACCACATGGGATGCCTTCGTATGTGCCTTACTAGGAGGCAGCTGTGACTGATGCTTTCTATCAGAGCAGACAGGGTGGAGGGACATCCATTAATGAAGTTACCCATTTGCTAAAGTAATCCATCACAAAACTCAAGCATACAAGGAAGAAGAGAAGTTTTATGTAACAATGTTTGGCCAGACTATGATAAGCACAGAAAGAGGGTAAGGTGCAAGAGCTGCCCCTTTGCTTACAGTCAGCATAAGGTGAAGGGAATGGGCTAAACTGCTCCATGAGATGGCTATGGTACTACAGCTGAGTCACAGTGCTCTGGAGTCAGTCAGCTCTTCTGCCATGCTGGTAGTATTGGCTCCAGAGACCTGGGCCGTCTCGAGGTCCCCTTCACATACCTCCCCCAGGCTCATACAATCCAATTCAGTTACTGGGATTGATTTTCTGTCAGGGCCTTTAACTTACATGGACCTCTAGCACAGGCAGAACAATAGAGATCAGTGTGGCAGCACTTGGGTGGGATTCCAGGGCATGTGTTGAGAAGGTCAAATTAAAGAGATGCAGCACCCTCCTCTGGTTTTGGAGAAGGATTGGGAAATAACCTACGCAACAGGTACCTGCTGGAAAACTATGTCGCCCAAGAATCAAAAGAGGTCCCCCCGGACAAGTGCTGCTGAAAGGAGAAGAAAGTTTGACTCAGGCACTTTAATTTTTGCTTTTGAAGAGACACAGTTTTTTATTCCAGAAGGTCAATGCATGAGGTCAATGAATTGCTTTTAACATAAATGTCATGAAAAAGACCAGATACCCTTTTATGTAGAAGTTCTTAAACAGGAACTTCTAAGTGAAATGGGAGTACCTGTCAACTCAAATTGATTCTTTGTCCTGAAATTGCAAGACAAATCCTCATCTATTTTTAACCCCAAGCACTGTCCGCACTGATATCCCACCAACAGAAATTAAGACTCCCCAGCTCCGTCCACAGCTCATTGAAAGGCATGTCCAGCATGCTCTTCTCCCCCTATCTGCAGTTACCTTCAATGAACCCAAGAAGCTTCCCACAGCATATCCACATGGGCGTAGACTCCAGCCCCTTTTTCCTACCTAGCACAGGAAAGGGATTTTGGTTTAAGGGACTTAGTACCACAGCAGACTACATGTCAGACAAATTTACAGTCAAGGCCTACCCTTGCTACCTGAAAGGGTCAGTGCTGGGAGCAAAAGTGCGGCCAATGGTGTGGACTCTGAAGCAACCTGCTTGAGTGGAGCAGAATGGCTTTTAAATTAGGTACATGGCACAAGTTCAAGGGGGAGGAGGGGGGGAACAAAACCAAAACAAATACCCCCCCCCAAAAAAAAAAAACCAAACAAAAACAAACAGCATCCATCTATATACAGACAGCCTTGAATTTCAGGAGGTTTGGGGTTTTATCCAAGAAATCCAGAGCATTTTAGTGTAAGGAGGAAGACATATTTCTTGGGATATTAAATGAGGTAAGGATGCTCCTGTGAAGGTGGCAGGCAGATGCAAAGCTCTTGCCAAGAGGAACAGAAAGCAGCAAGCTATTCAACTGTCAGAAGCTCACCACCTTTTACCACTTATCACTCTAAAGACCCTCTAGGAAGAAGTGCTGTTTCCATCCACTGTGGCAAGCCAACAGCACTACAGAGTGCCCACATCTTCCCCCAGTACCTTCCCAACTCTCCCCCACTGCACAGCTCCTGCCAGACTCATCCCTTCTTTGTTCCTCCAGGCCCATCCAGCTTCATGCTCTCCAGGGTGTATTCTGCAAGGACATATCCGACCTTCCCCCTTGAGGGATGAAAGACAGATGCAGAAGATACCCAACAGCTGGTGGTCTGGCAAGGAAATAGGTCAGTGCTGTGTCCAGATGAAGCTGGAGAAAGCCTAACACAGCACGGTCTATCTGCAAAGGCAGCAACAGTCTTACTCTGCACAGGAAAATGTAGACTACTCTAGTCACAAGTTTTGTAGTTGGTGTTTCTGTTCATTTGTTTGGGGTTTTTTTGTTGGTTTGGTTTTTTTTAACTCACTGTATTGTGTGAAGAGTGGTCTAACTTCTGCCCCCAAAAGCAAGTTAAAAATAAAATAATAAAAAAAAAGCAGGTAGGCGCTGCCTCATGTATGCTAAAATGTTTGGCCATCAACTGCTTTTCACAACAGAAAACCTTTTACTCTGAAACAGGACAGATTTGTGTTTGACAAGAAAGATTAATTTCCATTTCACCCTTGATGTGCTCTGTATCACCTCCTGGAGTCTGCTATTTGGATGGATAAATGCGGAGGACACAGTCATCTCTAGCATCTTTTGATGCTGGGAGCCAGTACACTGCCAGCTTATGCAACAGGAAACATCTGGCTCCTTGAGCAGAGCCTGCAGCAGTTGGCCATCTTTCCATGGGGGCTCCATGCCCCCTACCAGGTAGCAACACAGATCCAGCAGCCAGACACACCTGAGGTCAGAGTCCAAAGGAGGTCATGGCTCTGCTTTGCACAAGCATTCACAGAAAACTTAGTCAGAGAAGCACCAAAGCAAGCTTCATGCTTGGTGTACAAAAAGCTTAGAGCTGGGACAGTGCCCTGAAGCAGGAAAGGGTCTCAGTAGCAGGGCTGACAGCCTTCAGCTTGTTGCTAGGCTAATGCCTTTGTTTACAACCTGGTAGAAAATAAGTTTAGTTAGGTTTTAGCATAATCTGTGCCTGGAGAGGTCGGATTTCTCCCAGGACCCACACAGAGGAGGTGCTGCAAAGTGACAGTCAAATACCAACCACAGATGTATCTGCACAAATTCTGCCAAAGGTAAGGGGGAAGCCAAGGGAAACACATAGTGTTTGTTTATCCAGGAGTAAAAAATATCCCATGAGGTCTGTTATAGAGGACTGCTGCACTGAACCCAAGCAACTTGACAAGTTAGGAACAGAGCACTGCCACATCACCCAGCCAGTGGGGGAGCAATGTCATACCCTGCCCAGAACACCAAGGAGCGCTTGGATACCTGCTAACTGCTCTGACAATGCCCTCCAGCAGCGCCTGGGGACTTGCAATGTTAAGAGCCCTCCCCAACCCAAAGTTTGCCAATATGCTTAATCAAATTGGCCTTTTGAGATCAAGGTAGGAGGCTGCAGTTTAGGCTGTCCGAAATCAAGCACAGTACAGGGAATTGTGCATGCCATAATGATGCTCTAAGTAAATGGTTAAAACACTGGTACTTGATTATTTTATAACAGTTGAAAATCTGGTATATAAACGTGAAAAATTAAATGCTCCTCCTTTCCTCCAACCCCCTCCCAATCTCTATCCCTCTTTTTCCCCATCCCACTACCCCCTGGTAAAGCACAAGTATGAGATTAAATCTGTCTCATTAACTATTCCTGGGAAATATACCCTCCTTCAGTGTAGTGCAAACCCCACCTTGGTTGAGATAGGTCAGGGTTTCTTCGTGCAGTTTCACAGCAGGTGATGTGGCTGTGCAGAGGACATACTGAAAGGGTGGCAATTTAGCGTCATTCTCAGGAGACAGCTGAGGTTCTTCCTGCTTGAAGATCGGCAGTGCAAGGACATCTCTGCAACACAGAATTCACACACATTCACTCAGAAAGACTCTACAGAATCCTAGCCTCAACCTGTGCTTGATTCTCATGCTCTGAGATAATAGAAATGGCCTCTGGAGAAACAGTGAGTTATGACAGCTAAGCAAGAAAGAATTCAGCCTGTATAATGTAATAAGGCAACTTCTGCCTCTCGGATGTCGGCACTGGGCACAAAAGAACACAGCATTAGCAAAACAGAATATTTCTGAGAATTAATTTATGTTTGCTAAACATAAATTTGATCTGCTTTTCAATAAAGCAGTCTTCCTGATGAGGAAAATATATATATAAAATATAGATTATTCATCCTTGCAGAATTACATTTGTTTAAGAGTTCTCAGGTACCCAGATGAAACACCTTCAGGAAAATAAAGGGCAAGAAAGGGCTCTTTATCCTGACAGCTAAGTGTCAGATTAATAAAATGCCTACAAGTAGCAGCCAATATGAGAAGCAGACACAGCTCTGATGTAGAAAGGAGACATTCAGATAAATGATGACATGAACTGCTGGGTTAATTGACTCATAACATCTCCTTGCACTCTAATAAACCTGGTCCAGAGTTCTCACATAGCTCTTAAGTTCGCATTGGGCTACCTTCATAAATGCACATGCACACAGGTGCTCAGGAGCAGCTTCACTAGGACCTGAACACAGTCCATGTTCTCACTCCTTTCAAGATGTTCATGCTGACCTGCCTTTTAATTCAGCATCAGACTGATCCCAACCCACACTAATCCCCAAGCGGAACAGGTATTAGCAAGGCTGAGAGCACAACAGAATGATTAGTACAAAATGAGATGTCAGGAATAAGCATCCTTATCTCAGCATGCCTGATACTGAAAGACCACATTAGCCTTTCCCATGTCCACTTTTCTGGTCATTGTGTCCACCTACTTAGGACATTAATATCCTTCCAAATTAGGAGGATTATGCTGAGCCCAGAGACAGTTCAAAATAAGAAACAACTCTTTTTTTCCTCCTCCATTTCCTCTAGATGTGTGAAGACTTGAGACTCCCATTACAGAGGCTGCAGTTCTGTGCCTTTCAGTAAACCCATACACAAAAAGCTCTAAGAAAAACTGTTCAGGACCATGCTGGCATGTACGGACATGCTCCCTATGGAAAGAACATTTAGAATTTTCCCCTTGCCTGTTCAGTTAATGATCCACCCTGTGTTCATTCATAGCACCCACAACCTTGAAGGCTACCCAGGTCATGAGTGAAAAGGTGCAGCAGTTTACAGCAAACTGCTGAAGTGCCTGGTTCAAACACAGGTACTCCTATTTATGGCAAAATAGAAGCAGAGAGCAAGCTGTGTGAAAAGAAATACCCATATCTGCATTTTCTCTTACAACCCCTTCGTATTATCACCAACTCAAAAGCATCCAGCCCCATTTGCTTACTGGCAATACTGACCTAATCCCAGCTCTTGACTAACCGCAGTCACAGAGAGGGGTTTTTTTTTCCTTAGTGGTGATGATTTACTACAGTAATGAAGTGACAGAAATGCCTACAACAGATCTCTGAAATAGATCTCATTGCTCTACACGCATGCAGGATCCAATACCACTCCAGAGGAGAGCCACTCACCCCAGATGCTCTTAACACACTTGTCTGCACAGTGCTATCAGAATGAGTGCTGCTTTCCAGATGAGAACAGGTCAAAAACACTGAAGCCTGAAAGCTTCTGCAGAAACCAGCACACAGTCTGGCCTGGGTTTAACATTTAAGGTTGAGATATTTGTACCCCTATTCAGCTGAAGCAGTTGAGAGATTTAGGCAAGGGGAAGTCTAAATCCAAGTACCAAATATCGTATTTCACACAATACTCTTAACACTCTTACACTTGCTGGAACAACTGTGCTATTGCCAAGGACTGCAAGCATGGAGGAATCCATGATTTGGTTTCCAGAAAGTTTCACCGTATTAAAGCACTGACTAAGCCACACAAGTCAATTTTTATTCCTGAACTAATGGCCTGTGGCATTCATAGCTTTGGCTCAAACCCTTCTAAAACATTTCACCTTATTAAAAGCACTCAGAACTTAGAAGGATGTGAGCAACAGATCAAGGCTTAGAAGAATGCCAAAGCTATAGTTATACAAGCCACCGGAATATTTGTTCAGCTCTCTTCAGTTCAGAGCTGCAACTCAAGTTTTTGAAAAAGCAGGCTTTTACAACAGCTTTTATCCTTAAAAAACGGGGGTAGGGGGTAAAGGGATGAAACACCCTTAAGACTCTCCCAGGTTTCATCTTTATGCTAAAGCTTTGCAGCTCTGATCTTAACCAACTGTTAGTTCACTTACATGAAAGGGAGAAAGTTACTTAAGAGTTCAGTCAGCTGGCAGAACTGAGACCAAAATACACACTGGGTTTCCACAAAAACAAATTAATACTTACAAGGACTTTTCTGTAGTATTGTCTTGCTGTAACTACAAATACCACTGAGGTGTGGCAGAACTTACATGGATGTCTAGATATGCGCAACACCTCTGATGTCGACAAGGTATAATTGATAAAAACTTTTCCTACAGCTACTTTAAGGTTTGTACTGTTTCAGCTTCCTGTGCAAAATCATTACAGGTATGGAAAACCTTCAGAAAGGCACAGCTCGGTAGAAAAACACCCCTCAGGAAATGCATACCTTCACACATTCCCGTGGAGAGTAAAGTAGCCAGAATTACAAAACCCAAAGGTTTTATTCAACTGACCTTCCCTGAAACACCTGAGGCCATTCCTGCCATAGAACTGGTTTTAGAGCTTTCACTCCCAGATCAAAACCACCACTGTCACAGAGGCAGGTACTCACTAAAGCTGAAGTTTGTTCCTAAAACACCAACAGGTTACCTTCATACTAGCAGCCTTCCTGCAAGAGCAGGTCCCTCTATCCCCTCCAGCTAGCACCAAACAGGCAAAAATAATCCAATAAGTGTTCTGGCCAATTCAAAGGAATTTGAGTTGTGGGATGAAGCCTGACACAAACTTGATCTTGTAGCAATCGTACGACAAATCCATGGAATTAATGAAGCAGTCTGAGCACCATAAATGCTCTCTAATGCAGACACAGTGCACAAAACTACGAATGCTGATGCTCCTCTGCTTTTATTCCCACTGTCTCAAACTAGTCAGATTTGCAAATCCAAAGCAAGAGAGAACAAGACGCTTGCCACATACATGTTGTTAAGACAGACACTGGGATAGAGTGAGGAAGGTGAAAAACCTTGTATGAAGAAGTGGAGAAGCTGCCAAAAAGCAAGAATCTCATGGTATTTATTACTATTATTAAGTAAAAGAAATAAATATTTTTCAAATATTCGGATAGGGAATAGTTAGGATTATGCATCTCCTTGAAAGGGAAGCATTATCTGTGTTCCAAGTGCTCTGCCTAGACGAACTCGGTGTTCTCTCAACAGCAGTTATTTGGGGGTACACTTTAAAAGGAAGGTGCTTTAGCCACAGCCAAGTCCTCCACCGCTGCAATTCAGCAAATTCACACATCAGCAGAGCAGCAGCAGCAACTTGTACCAGCTGAGAGCTCAGCTTTACATGATCTCAGAAAAAAAAACAAAACAAACATAAGCATCCAGCAGAAAGGAAGCTCCCAAAGTTGCCTGCTTTGACATCTTTTGGAGGGAGGAAATACGGGCTTGTGCTACACGTTACAGACTATTGTTTAGCAGCCCTTGTGCTTAAATTAGGCACATTTAATTAAACACAAATGTGTGGAGGCAGGAAAAAGCTGGTTTAGACAAGCTCAGAAAGTGAAATTTTGAGCTTTTTACCCATCGTCCCAAAACGAAGAGAAAGAAATCCCATCCTCAGAAAACTGGATGTTCTCTTAGTTGCCCAACAGACGCTTTCCACAGGCTTTTGACAGCACTCTGCAACTAGCGCACCTTCTCCCTGCGAGCTGCACTTACCTAAGCCCCTGAGCAGAGGGAAGCCGGCAAAAGCAAAAAAAGCAAAGTTGCAGAGAGTTGTCTAAGGAGGTGCAAGAAAGAAAAAACATAAAAAGAAGGGGAAAAAATAAAAGAGCGCCCGCAGCTCTCAAAACGAGTCAGGAGCGCTCACCCCGGGCGATGCGGCTGCTCCACTGGATGCCGGGTACCGCCAAAGGGTACCGCCAGCAGACACCTTCCCCTTAACCCCCGTGCCCGCCTTAATGCCCTTAACCCGCCAGGGGCTCACGCCGCCCGGGGCCGGCGGGGACTCACCGCAGGTAGCTGCCGGTCGAGTGCTGGTTGTAGTGCTCCGGCTGCGTGTGCCAAAACAGCATCTTGGTGGGCGGCGGGCAAGGCGGGGTGAGAAGGGGTCCCGGTGCCGGCGCGGTCGCTGTGGCCAGGCGGCAGAAGGGAGCCAGCCGGGCTGCCCACCCGAGGCACCCCAAGCACGGCTACTGCCGGTTGGAGCCGCGGTCCCAGCAGCTCCCGGCGTTTTTATGGCTCAGACCCGGCAGCCGCGGGTTGGCCGGGCCGGGGCGCCAGAGCAGGTCGAGCCCTCCCCTCTTCCGCCCCGTCCCGCCCCACCGCCCGCCGCGCGTGGTCCGCGCGCACGAACGGGTGGGAGCGGGTCGGAGGGATGGGAGGGATGGGGCGGAGGCGGCGGGAGGTGGCGTTGACCCGGGAGCGGTGTTTGGCGGGGCGGCGCGGCAGCGATGTACGCGGCGAGCCTGCAGTAGCAGCGTGCAGTGCCGCTGCGGGCAGCGCGGCCTCAGCGGCACCCGGGGCATGCAGAAACCCCAGCTCCGGCCCCGCTCCGGTGGGAGTTGCGATCTGTCCTCCAAACTGTCCATGTTTTGTAGAAGCGAACCTGTGCTCGTCGAACCGGCGGGGTGCCCTGGGAACTCCAGCTGACATCAGAGGCCAACCGTAAAGGCACTGCTCAGGTTCCTTTAAAGTGTCTGGGTTTTTTTTAAGTGAAGGACAGTTGATTGTGTTAGCTCCATGCTGTGTGTCTCTTATACCACCTGTGTTTCATGTTAATATGAACTTCATGTCATCACAGAATCATAGAATGATTCGGGTTAGCAAAGACCTTAAGATCATCTAGTTCCAACTTCCTTACCATGGGCAGGGACACCTTTTACTAGACCAGGTTGCTCAAGACCCTGTCCAACCTGGCCTTGAGCACTGCCAGGTATGGAGCGTTCACAACTTCCTTGGGCAACTCATTCCAGTGCCTCACCACCCTTACAGTAAAGAGCTTCCTCCTTATATCCAATCTAAACTTCCCCTGTTTAAGTTTTAACCCATTCCCACTTCTCATTTTACTACAGTCCCTAATGAAGAGTCCCTCCCCAGCATCCCTGTAGGCCTCTTTCAGATACTGGAAGGCTGCTATGAGGTCTCCACGCAGACTTCTCCAGGATGAAGAGTCCCAGCTTTCTCAGCATGTCAGGGGATATTTTCAGGTGGGGGAGTGAGATGCAAAGTAATTTGCTGGAGGACAGGCAGGAACAAGCAGACAGCGTCAGAGACTAAACCTCACCACTAACCCATCCAAAGCCCTTCTGTCTTTCCTAACTCACCTGCCCTACTCAGTAAGAGAAATCTGTTTCTTTACCTCTTCAAATTGCAGATCCTGATCCTCTCCACAAGGCTATTGATATCTGTCGTTTTCCCACCCCTAGCTCTCAGGGAATCTTCCTGTCCCATCAATCCTTCTATGTTTGATACTTCAGGGAGGGGGAACAAAATGGTAGAGGGGGTTCCCCATTTGGTCATGTCATCTTGTCTGTCCGCCAGCAGGAATGGAAACAGACCCTTGATTACTCTTTAAAAATGTTCCAGTCAGTTTTGCAGGAGAAGACTTCCCACCAACAAGCTTCCTGGTCAAATTTCAGGGAATAAAGGCAGTTTACTCAGGGTAACTGTTGGCATAGATTATTGGGTGCTGCCATATTTTACAGCCAAGATAGCAGCATTTCACTGACATGAAATTTTTATTATCGTGCAATAATTATAGAGTATTGATATTGTTATAGCACGTAGAGGTCATCATTAGGTCGAGCCCGAGAGAGTCAGGTGCAATACAGCTGTAGGCACTGGCAGTTCATGTGCTGATCTGTCATGAGGTGAAGGGCAAGGTAATTTGAAGGGCAGCTAAGTAGCTTCACAGAGGTGCTATGAGGCTTAAGGTTTTTAAGACACATTATTTCAGACTGAGAAATAGCACAAATAAATGTGCCTTTAAGGTGGTTTTTCTTTCCTCTGTGACTACACAGCTAGACAAACACTTGGCTCTTTCAAAGCAAAATGGCTGCAGTTATCTTACTGCTTTTTTACGCTCTCAAAAATATTTATCTGTGCTCACACAACATCTGAACAGCAGCTGCTCAGACCTTGATTGAGCAAAGTCTAAATATAGCTCTTGGATGGAGAAACAAGACAAAGTTTGCCGAGGTGTCCAAGGACTTCTCTAAACAGTAAATATCCTTCTACACTGGTGGAACTACAAAACTACAGTTTGTGTAGTTTGCTGCACCAACTGGAGAAAGACCAAGTCTGGTGTAAGAGTAAATGACCACACCATACAAAAGAAAGGATTCCATCAAGTCTGGCACATCAATATTTTATTTACTATCTTTCTAGAAAGTAAGTATGTTGAAGTGGAAATGACTTTAATCCCATTTGTTTTCTCTCTGACCTGTTGCTAAAAAGAGAGATCTTTCTTTGTTGTCTACATCTCCTGAAAGAAATCTCAGCCCTCTTCTGGTCTAAATTCTGTTTCTCCCCCAACATGGAAGTTTGCATCAGAGCATTAAATACCCTCTCCTGGTCTTCAAAATCAACCACATCACACAGACCAAGGCCTCTTTTGCCCTGTCTGGGGCTCCACTGATCACCCATCGTCTGCTCTTCCTCCTTCTCTAACACAGCCCCTCAGTGAAGAAATCTTCCCCACTGCAGCTGTCTCACCCAAGCCTCCCTTTGCTCACCTGCTGTCTCCCAGATGAAAGCCATTTGATTCCCTCTGCTGTGCTGATAGCTCTTCATCTCTGTTTTTCAATTGTCCACGGTAAAATTCTTAACTCATATGACTAAAAGGGATTGAATATTTTGCTTGTTGGATTTTTCTACTCGAGGTAATGCTACAAAGGGATTTCAGGATACTTTTTGTGTGAAAAGTATTTTAAAAATAAGTATTTTTTCCTGCGGATGTTTGTGCCTGGGCACGGAAGCACTGTGCCAGTGAGTTCAAGCTGGCATAAAGAGAAACAATGTTTTAAGTATGCAAGTCCTTTTGATTAAAAAAACAACCAAAACAAACCAACCAATAAAAAAAATTAAACCACACAAAAATTTTAAGCATTAATATCTGCGCTTTCAGTTGAAGAAGTTATTGCCGCAAAATCATTCTGCCGTTTCACTGGTCATTACAATCCCTTTAGCTAAGCACTGAGTGGAAAACCTATATGCCCTTCGTCTGCTTTGCTGAAGGGTCATGAGGTTTAAAAGAGATTCTCACCAATCAAGTAAACTTTGCATTGAAATGACTGAGATACGGATACATATTCTGTTCCCTTTTTCCTCTGGAAAAAAGGTGTTTCCATTGGCCAACGGGCTAAAGGGTTGTGAGCATGGGAGCATTATAACAGTGCAGAGATGGCTAAGTAAAAGCTGAGATTGGTGAAAGTAATTATGCCTTTAACTCCCAGCAAATTCAAAGGAAACAAAGCACCTCTATACCTTTATGAATTCCATCACAAGCATCTGAATAACTTCTGAAAAGTCCATCAGGATCTTCTATGTCAGATGAGCAATTTTGTGTTCATGAAACCCAAAATAAACGTAAAGGATCAAGGTTGAACATTATACTGTATTGAAGAGCTTCCAAATGCTGCCTTTCAAAAATTATGGCATTAGTCAAGGTTATTCAGGGATTACTCCAATTCTCTCCTGGTGCATGGGCCATAGAGTTACAGGCTGTCTGGATGGACTGCAGGGATCTGAAATGAGCTGCAGAGACTTGGGAAGACTTACAGGGATGATCTCACCCAAGCACTGAATATGATTTAAGAAAAAAATAGCATCATGGGGCCTTTTGTGTTGCCTCAGTGTATTTTAGCTCGCAGCTTCCAGCTTCTGATGTGGGGATCCTTGTGGAAACTATATTTAAGTAGCCTCTGCAAGATAATCAAGAAAGGTGGCTATACTGTGACTGGTTAATTTGCCCTACCTTCCCTGGAAAACACTGAAGGCACCAGGAACTAGAAGGGGCTAAAATCCCAAGGTTGGCATCCACTGCAGTGTTGTGAATGAAGAAAGAAAGCTTTTATAAAGCCTGTTTTGTTCTAAAAGCTGGAAAACGGTTCACTTGCCTTTGACAGGGTTTGGGACAGCTTCCAGTGGCAAGTGCAGGCTCGCCTGGAGACCAGTGACTACTGCAGTCTCCTTATCCATTCTGTGCAGGTCCAATTTTCAAATGGAAACCAGCCTAGATGGGTTCCCTTTGCCCTCTGGTGACCAGCACTTCAGGGCATAGCTGGTGGCCAGCAGTTCTGGGCAACGACTACTACTAAGAGCATGAATGTAGTCTTGGTGTTACAACCAAGAAGGAGGACACAGAAGTGGAAAAACAGAATGACTAAGGCCTTGAAAATGTGCCTTATAGTGAAACAAACATGGAGCTTAGGCTGGTTTTACCCAGAAGAAGATTAACGTGTGCCTCAAAGTCTATAAATACTCACATGGGAAATCAACATTTCATTTCTAATGTTCCTAAACCTCTCAGTAAAGATACAAAAGCCAGGGAATAAAAACTGCAAATTAATAAACAAGGCTAAGAACAGACTGAGCAATTATCAAGGAAAGTAATAATGGTGAGTGCAACTTTCCCAAAATTTGTGGTTAGAGCCTCCTTTCCCCAACCCATTTTCTAGATGTAAATCAGGACTATTTTTTTCTCCTGAAAAAGAAAAAATGATGAAGAAAGGAACTCATTTAGGTCCTGTGGCCAGTTTGACAGAGGAGAACAAAGATGCTCAGGGAGACCCTTTCTATCTTTATGATCTCTGACGTTTCCTCACCAAAGGCTTCCAAATTCCTTCATATTGCAGTCACCTGCCTGTTCTGCCTTGTGTGTCTCAGGCAATGTATCCCCTTCCCTGACAGCCAAACTGGCAGCAGCGTTCATGCGTTGTGATGTGCTGACAACACAATCATCACAACACAATGAGAACTACATTAACTGAACTTAACAACAAAACAAATATCAGGAAGAATACGGCACAGAGTGGCTTATTTATTTTCTTATTCAAGTCATTCATTAAAACCCTCACCATTTTTTTGCTTATCAGAGGTCACCATCAAGTTTCCAGCTGCCCCTGAATTTCCAGGCACAACCAAGCAGCGATGAATCCACAAGGTCTTTTTGCCACAGAAATT